CAAGACTGCCTAGTTTCTTTAAAATAAAGCAGTTTAATTTCTTCTATAGATAAATATCTATATTTATGTATATTTTTATATATATAAACACTGATCACCGCAAACTGATTCCTTCAACTCTGAGGTCAGTCCCATCGTATGATTTGGTTCATGTTTTATACAGTCAGATCAGTAATACCTCTGTCAGAGGAAGAGTCAGATTCAGTATCCTCACTCTTTTGAAGTGATTAGGATGTTTTATTCGATCGTTTGTCATTACTGGAGAGAAGATTACAGATCCATAGCTTTTGTTTTCGCATCTATTTGGTAGGATGAGAAAAACCCTGTTAGTCTGTAGATTTAACCAGAGTAATTACAAATAATTCTGGACTGCTACTTGCCCATCTACAATGAAGTTCCACTGAGGAATGCTAGAGATTTCTTCAGATTGCGTCATCCAGCAGTTTTCCAAAAATAGTTCAACATTAGGAGCTTCATCTTTTAATTCTACTTCAAAAAATAGAGGTTCCCATGAATACTTGATAACTAGTGAATGATACTTATAAGCTTCTGTGAATGATTCATCTGGGAAGAGGAAAAAAGGGAGAGCAGTGATAGATTTTTGGAACAATACATATTCAATTTTAGACTTACCATGATTTTATCTTTAGGAGAGTCTTACCTTTGAACATATTTGCCTGGATATTCAGAACTTGTCTTGTCCTTGTAAGGTCTGTGGGACAAATTATAATGACTGTCATAACTGTGATCACACATTCATAAGCTGTATATTTAAGAAAATTACCTACCTTTCTTATTAGTCCAAGACATCATTGTGCCAGAACCATAAGGTAATGTTCTAGATGAGGAGCCATAGAACATAGCACTTTGCATCAAGATCTCTTTGATTGGATAGTAGCACAAGATAGTCAGTCTGCAATAAAAATATATATTCTTTTCAATTGCTGAATGTAAATTAAATCAGTTGTGATCTACTTATTTTTACCTGTATTCTGGATCTCTTGTAATAATTGGTGGATTCTGTATTGGAAGAGTTTCTTTTTCAAAGGATATTTCATTTTCATAAATCAGGTGTTCATCATTAAACTGTATCAGAGAAAAATATCAGATCTAATTATTTGATGAAAAGACCACCTCTGTTTCTTTGTGAGCAGCCTTTACTCAGTTCCTCACCTTTACGGAAGTGCCACAAGTAGAAACCTGAAACCGAAATAAAGCTTGGTCCTTTGTATGGTCTTGAGGCTTACAGATGTTATCCTTCAGTCTTGTTTTGCCCATGTCAATGGATGGAACTGTCTTCATGTGAGCCAGTACGGTTACAGTTCCATTAGGATAGCAGACTGAAAAAACAGAAGACAATGAATTAGATTACAAAACATCTCCCTTAAAGAGACTGGATTCTCAGCTAAGAATAGATCTTACCTATGAATTCTGAGGAGTGAAAATTACACCTCATGGAAAAGGTATCCAAGGTTTCTAGAGTGACCATTTTCTTCAAGACTAGATCAAATCTAGCTTGGATTCTCTCAAGTGACACTTCCTTTAAAAAAAAGTGAGAAGCATATTTTAAGGATGATGTTTGTTTTGAAATTGCTTCAGTATACCAAATGGCTAAATATTTAAGACAGACATGGGCAACCTTTTTTTGGCCAAGGGCTGCATTTCATTTATTTCACTTTAGGGGAAAACACAAGGTACTTGTCCAGCAATTAAATTATGTTGCTGGGAGTTGGGTAGTGTAAAAATCTGATAAATAAAAATAATGTCATCAGCTAGATGGGACAGACTCTTTTTGGCTTTGGGGGGAAAAGCCCAGACGGTTTAAAGATAAAATTTTGCTTTGTAGTGGCTTAACACATCTATTTCCACTCTTGTTTTTGTTAAAATAGCCATCATCCCTGTTCTGACCCAAAGCTCTCCCTTTCCTGATTTCAGGCACAGCCATTTTTATACAAAACAAATGGCCATGTTTTATATTATTCTTAGCTCGTAGTATCCAGTCAATTTGTGTTAAGGTTTTAAAGAATCCATTCAACTTGGCTGCTAATTATGAGGACACTTTCAGGCAGCATGCCTTCCACTAACAGGAACTTCCATTAATGGGAAAGAAAGCTTTAAACATTGTGCCTCTGTGGATGTGTATGGTGCAAGTGTTTTCCACTCAAGTTTGTTAAAATGCAAATTAATATAGATATAACCAACTAAAACCCTTATGGTCAACTCATTTTTCTGCAGTTGGATGATACTAGAAATATCACACTTTTAGTTCTACATCTTGGCACAGGCATTTACTTAAAAAAACCTCATGTCCCACAATGGGGAGGAATAAATGGAAGAGTGGTTTACAAAAGAAAACCTTTTCCTGTATATTAACCATCCTGGTTAGTTTAGTAGATTCAGTTCTCTAATTTGCCCATTGAGATAAGGAACCATGGTGGTTCTGATGTATAAGAAACAGTCTCCTGTAAGTCAAGCTGGACTCATGATTTCATGGACATATCCAAGTAGTTTTCTTGGCAACAGTGTAGAAGTGATTTCCCTTTTCCTTTTAGGAGTTTTGGTTTTTACTTTCCTGTGATTTCCTGATGGTTTCTCATCCCAAGGCTGACCATATCCAACCCTGCTTAAGTTTTTGAGATGAGCAAAGCAAGCTAGGTGCTACCGCCTAGCAGGGCTCACTTGTAATATATACCTCATAGATCATCCCAGGAGCAAAGAGAGGCACTTGCAATACTAGATGAGTATCATTCGTCATGATAAAATACCCATTTGTACGGGCAGTGATCTGATTCAAAGGCGTATTACCAACATAAAGGCTCCAGTACTGAAACAGGCCTGCAATGGTAACAGCTAAATATATATTCTTTTTGTCACAGTATCCAATGCCTTCTGGTAATTCTGTAAGGAAAAAAAAATTAAGTCACATTAAAGTAGCCTCTACAAAAAAATGTCCCTTTAACAGGTTTTTTAAAAAGTTTAAGTCTAAAAAGATGGCTGTATTGGAGTTCCATAATTGGCAGGCTGATAAAATTTTGGACTACTTAGGTCTTTAGCTGATGGTTTAGATCAGTGCTTCTCAACCTTGGCCACTTTAAGATGTGTGGACTTCAATTTCCAGAATTCCTCAGCCAGCTATGCTAGCTGGAGAATTCTGGGAGTTGAAGTCCACACATCTTAAAGTGGCCAAGGTTGAGAAACATTTGTTTAGATTGTGATCAAACTCTCCATTCTACTGGCCCATAAGAAGCCCCATGGTTAGTAAAGAACCAGAGACAAAAATGAAGATGCTTATATAGCAGAAAATTAGAAGTAGGCTGAATGTTGCAGTTTTGAGACTGACAGAAGATCATAGCACTTGAGACTGTTATTATACAGTTTGAGAATTTTGCCTAAACATCGCAGTTGTCATTTGCTTGTTATTTCAAAGCAAAACAAAGTTTAGGATAAAGTTTAGGCACATTTTTCATGTTCTCAAGCTGTTCAGATAGTCTCCAGCCAGACTTCATTGCTCCCAGTGATTTAATTCCTGAAAAAGCCTTCTGTCCATTGTACCTAAAAGATAAGCTAAGTATCTAACAAGTCACTGTTGGGTCAATACTGCCAGGCAACTTACGAATATCTGCCATTGTACATTCAACGTCTGCAGGATGGCGATATAGCTTCTCTTCAGGACCCACAATCAGAGTGTAGATTACTCGGAGGTGATATCTAGTTTCATTTCTGTTCACATACTTAAACAACAAATGAAAACCATGAAATCCAATAGATTTTGGCAGCACTCTTTTAACAGAAACCAGGTTTAGGACAAAATTCATGTTGGACACATGTGTGCTAAATCATTATGCAAGCAAGGGTTTAAACAGCACTCTAGTAGGAATCTCTTCAGCATTTTAGGTGAGAAGTGAAAAAAAACCCTTGGGATTTTATTATTTATTTAAATGTACAGAAACAGAAGCTTTTTGAAAAATAATTCAGCATTACACAATCCATGTCAGGAAAGGCAAAAATAGGCAATCTTCAAGGGCTTGGGCCACCATTTAGCTAGAAAATGAAAAGGTTGATTTGGAGACAAATTATATGGGGCTTTAAGAGTGGAAAGAGAAGTGATTGGCCTGCCAGAGGCCTCTGTTCTCATTCCCATCCTTAATTTTGTAAAATCATCACCACCTGCCAAAATTAGGCCAGTTGACTTCTGAATTCCAACAGCATGGTTTTGGGTGCAGTGTGAATATCTGCAGCTCAGAGGCCATGAGATGTCCATCTCAAGACAGAGCAATGGCTTTAACCTAACAAGAGGTTCCTGCTGTCCCCAGTCCAGTACCATCTTGAGTGGTCAAAGCAGAGAAGTGCATACATATTTGCTAAAGTTGTGCATATTTGCTACATGCTAATTAAAGACAGAACACTTTTAGAGAGACAATGTTTCATCTCTATCTTCCTCCAGGGAATGTACATATAAGCAGACTTAGGGTGTATCCACGCAGCAATGGTAATGCGCTTTCCTCCCATCCTTGAGACAGGAAAAAAGTATGTCATAGTACAAAAAATGCTGCCACCACAGCCTGCCTTTCATTATGCTGTGACAGTGAACCTGGTACTGTTGCTGCCCTCATAGAAAGTAATCTGAATTATTTTCATGGCAGCAATTGTTTCTCCCTAACCAGGATGGGGAAAGGGCAGGTCCATAATATTTGGTCTATTAACACCAGGGAACATGGAGAAAAAATATTACGACTTTCTCCAGATGGAGGTTACCTTCCTGACCGGTGCCTTTGGAGAAAGCCTTCTTTCCTGCCACCTTACCTATCTTTTACATGCATTTGTACACAACTGCGGCCCGCATCTGTACCGTTTCTAGCATCTCCCTCCTCTGTGCTTTTTTTGATACTGCAAAACAACCATCCACAGTGTTGGGCGTGTGTGTGTTTAAGCCTTTATCCAACTTAGGTTGGCAATCACCAAATCTGGTAGTAGTCAATTGGAGTAACTGATTTTGGCTCCTATTACCCAGGCCTGTCCTCTAACCTTTACTCAGGATCCTGACTGGGGCTATGCCAGCTAATGGGATAAAATGTAGATTTGCTCTTCTTAAACATGTTATTTTTACTTAGGAATGGGAATGTCTATCTCCTAGCAAACCTACATTTAATCTGATATAAAGTTGATATTCTCATGTCCAAGCCCACTCCAAAAGGAAAAAAAAGGCTGTACTAGGAGCTATCTGGCTCCTGCAGCAGCCAGAACCAAAATGGCCATGGAGGCAAAGCCCTCCAGCTAGATGGGAAGTGGTGATCCTGCAGCAAGCCAACTGGAGCCCTGCAGACTGCCAGTCTCCTAAGGTTCCTCCTCCATGCACACTGGAACATCTGCCAAAATAACAGGGGAAATACTACTTTCAAGCCAAGACACCTTAGTTCAGCTTCAGTCTGACTCAGCAGTGGGCTGGTGATAATATGGAGGCTTCATGATGAGGTCATGTCCTCAGCAAACTATAGGTGGGGCATCTTGTGCCACAGCAACTAGGATGTGTGGATGAGACATTAAATATAATGGTTTTGTAGCTTCTTTTTTCTACGTGTTAGTAGTATATTCAATATGTTTGTTCAGTGCTTCCTCCAGTGAGACAGTTTGAAGTAAGGACTACCACACCGTACACACAGACACAATATCTTACTTCTTTTAAGACATTGGGATCGTCAAAAGGCACTTCCAGTTCAAAACCTCTTGTTCCATTGGGGAAGGGAATATCAGAGATCCTGTAGCCTTTTTGTTCTGCTTCCTTGAGAGAGAAAGTCACATCTCCTATTGTAAGAGTCACCAGACTGACATCAGGAAGGAAGACGCCCAAGAGTACATCAAATATTCGTGTTTCTGGAACGGTATCTATGTAAATAAGAAGGAATTTGCTATTGGGAAAAATATGAACACAAGAACTTGGTTATTCCCTGGAAATAATGTTTTTGTAATAATCTACCCTTTGAAAATAAAACTGAACAAACCGTTTGCTGCTAATCCACCTTCTTTTTGGAATGCATTGAAAAAGCACCCAGCTCTTCTCAGCCTATTCTTTCTTCAGTTCTGAAACTCAAAGGCTATAAGCTCTCTATATGCTTTGTTTAAAGTCAAGATTAGACCTGCATATTTAACCAACCTCTTTAGTTATTTTAATGGCTTTGCTAGATTTCTAAAGGAAGACACAAAATCTGTGTTTAACAAGGCAACAAATGGTATGTTCATTACAGCAACAACATCAGCACCTCTTCTTTAGACTGACAAGCAGACTTCTTCTGTCTGATTCTGTATGCAGACACACAAACTTACTATTGATTACTGTTGGTATTCGAGGCAGGAAGGGTGTAGTAATTGGTTTAATCACAATGTACTTGGTGAGCTGCCAATCTGTATTTGTCCAACTATGTTCCATCAATAGATCAATACTGTAGGTCACTCCATGGACCTCATTAGATACCGTGCTCTGGGAAAAAGACAAACTAGATCTATTAAGTGTTGCTGCATATAAACAAATGTTCTGCTTTGTTTTAATCAGTTCATACTGTACTCCAATATGTTACCTTTCATATCACACACTTGCCCTGATATTCCCTTCTGTACTATATATATATAGTAGAGCTTACATTTACCTGAAGCCTGCCCCTAGGGGCTCCAATTGGGATAGTAACTCCAATATGTGTGATGTTACGTTCCAGTGTGTAGTTGAATTTCTCAGGGTTCTCTATTTTTTCCCCATTAATTCCCATTGATACATTAAGGGATCTGAAAGTGGATTCTTGAAGGACCAGTCTAGGGATAATAGTTGGTACAGTCCATATTATGGAAGCATCTGTGAAGCTGGTACCATCTGTTGATTTATAGCACTTGTAAGTTTCAGATCATTGCTGAACAAAAATCAAGACTTTGCATAATATTGCTAGCAGGCAATATTTTAATATTATGAACCAGACATCTTATGGACAAGCTACCTGGATCTCATTTTAAAATCTATTATTTCAACATACAAATTCTTTTTGGTGCCCTTGCAGGTATAATTGGCAGAAAATTGGCTTGCTAGAGGGTACTGGTTGTATGAACATTCAATATCTTCCCTCACTGAATAAGCCATGAATTTTCATGAAAGGAGGAGAAAAATACTTGCCAACTGGGCATGATATAGTGGTGTCAATCAGCAGAAGTAGCCATCTTTGTCTGTACCTAGACCTGGAAGTGATTGTGCTCATAGTGACCCCATTAACCTGTGAAAAATGGATGGTAACAGTTTTACTTGACCAGTTGAAGAATGAGAGACCTTATAATGTCTATCTTTTGGGGGGAGGGGGGAACAACTTACCACTGTATTTTCAGTTTCACTTGTGGAGTATGGAGAGCGGAGGAACACTCTTGCCAATGTATTATTGAAGCTGTAGCCTAACTTGTCAGCATCACTCACTCCTGTTGTTCTTATCCCTGATGGAGAATAGAACATCAGCTTCCACATCTGATACATAACCTTTTGTGCCTGGAGGGGAAAAAATGATGAAGGCATTAAGAATTTTTAAACTGTAGGACAGCAAAAAGGTTACGTGACAAACATGCAAAATTCTGCAGTTTCAATAAGATCTAGGAGTTGTCAGCCTTGCAAGGTAGTCCAGACAAGAAGCATACCCAGAAGTACTAGCTCTAACTTTATTGTAAGGTTATATTAACAGAATCTTGCAACTCTGAAAGTACATCTCTCCCCCTCACCTTTACAGTTCAAGAAACTAGGGAGAGTCCCTTCTGAGTCGTTTGCTGTGCCCCCATTTCTTTTGCGGGCTAAGCTGCCCCTTATCTGATAATTGTGTAGCCTGCGGCTCTTCCTCCTGTCTCCCAAGGTAATTCCCACATACCATTAAAGGGAGTTAGTATGCATTGTACAGGTCCTTCTTCTTAGTCCTAATATCTTGGGCTAGGTCAGCTATTGACCACTTTGTGACTTAATGCGTTAGTATTGAAACCCCCAGAAGTTCCAGTTAGCATGGTCAATTACGGACTTCACAAGCCAAACATATGTGGAAGGCATTGGAATGGGAACTCCTGGGCTAAATACAGCCTCACAAACACATTCTGGAAAAGTATATATGTGTGAAGATAAAAATATCCTACAGAGAAAGAATATACTTGTTCTTCAGTTTGTAAACCTTATTCAGAAATAGATATGTGCTGGATTTCTAACTCATTATTAACTAATCTCATAGACATGGAAGCTGTAGCTTCTACATGTGCAGGTCATAACCCAGTAATTTTAAGATGAAACTGAGGAACCTTCAGACCAAAGAAGTGGAGATTTAGCAAACTGTTACTACTGCAAGAAGATACCAACAGAAATTCAACAGGTTCTTCCAAATCAGTTTAACTTCTGATATTTCTTTGTCTACCTTACAGGGCTCTAGCAAAGCACTTATGAGAAGATGGTTTATCTCTTTGGCATCACAGAAAGGAAGCTTTGCAAAAACAGAAGGACATACCAGTTAATGAACTGAAGTAATTAGAATTAAGACATAAGCATTGCCCAGTTTCGGACTTAGAACAAAAAATTAAAGTGATTTGTAATCAGTTTACAATGGAAGCTTTAATGGAAGTAATTTATTTATTTATTTATTAACTATTAAATTTATATGCTGCCCATCTCCCCCAGAGGGTATTTACTGTAATTTCTGTTTGAACTTGTGTGAGATGTTAATTCAGCCACTCATAAAAGAATTCCCAGGGAGGCACAACCAGTGGTACGTCTCCTATCTTTTAGGAGACCATAAAAGCACTATCACCCATAATTTTGCCAAATTCTGCCTCATTGCTACAGCAGTGAGGCAACAAATACTGTCCAACAAAAGGCATTTCTTTAATGCCTTTAAAACTCTTTCCTCTCCCCTTCCTTTCTTCCTCTTTAACTCATATAACTTATTTTAACTGCCATCTTTAATGTATATTTTATGTGAGTATATACATACACATACACACATGTACACAAGTTGGTCAAAGACTGTAATAAAGCTTCACCTTACTGAGGTTATATAATTACTACTCAATATAACATTAATAAGAGATACCAAGCAGAGTACACTGAGTTGTTTTCATGATATTAAATATATATATATATATATATACACACACACACACACGTACATATACACACACACATATATACATATATATATATGAGCTTAATAGCAGAATCTCCACTATATTATTACTGTATTTATAATTGTTAAAAATAGAAAAGAAAAAAAAAGAGGAAACACTCCTAAAAATAATATAAATATTTAATTTCTGACTCCCCCTGTCTTTGTTCTCCAACCGGTTTACAGTATCTAAAAGATGAAATCTTTTGAGACTTCTTTGGAAAGGTGAGAATCTTTTTTTAAAACTAAATATTATGAAATCTTATACCCCTACAAAGTATACTGAACTAGCTTTGAACATGGTACACGCTGCAAGGATACTCAAAGCTTTTTTTTGGAAAGTACAAAAGTTGATTCTGCAGAAGAATGGTTAATTAAATTGTGGGAGTATATTGTGATGTCCAAAATAAATTTGTACTTCAAAAGTAAATCTGACAATAGAATTTAAGTCAAACTGGAAGCCATTTTTGGATAATTCTGTATAAGAGCTTGTATCATATACAAAGTTTGCATTTCTTAACATAAAGTCTTAATATTCTAACTTTCAATAATCTGCTAAATAAATAAGATTTTTCACTGTTTGGACAGAAATTACTGTAATTGCTAATTGTATTTTATGATTTATACTGTGATGATTATTGCTATTGATATTTATATATTATTTGGATTTTAAAAATGACCTACAACTTTTAAAACAATGTTATATATTTATTTCATAAAAGTAATGAAATATTGGACATTTTTATTTAACAAATTTAGCCCTATTTAATTCTATGATGCGTGTGAATTTTCTTTGTGGCTTATTTTTCTTTTTTGACCATTTTTTCTTTTATGTTTTCCTTTTTTCATTTTCAAAAATGTTTAAGAAAAAAAATTGAAAAAAGAAAAGTAGCAATTCTTACAGTACCAGCAAAAATCACTGAGTCCCATAAGCACGGGCAGCATAGACTTTTCTACACAACTGTTACCTGTGATAATAAATTGCTATACTTCTAATCTAGCCAAAAGTGGTAGTGCTCGGGGGGAGAGGTGCAATTTAGAAGCCCTTTAAGTGGAAGTAAAATGAATCAATTTGTTTTTGTTTATAAATTACTGTAAGCCATCCTGGGTGGGGAAGGTATTTAATTAAATAATATTCCTACTGTACCTCTGGTAGCGCTGACATCCATTCTGCTGTCTCAGCCTCTGAAATCCGTGGGATATCAGTCATCACTGACACCTTGAAATGGAATTAGGTGTTTTTCAATAGAGAATCCAGCAGGGATCGATGCACCACCCCCATCCTGCTCCTGCTAAGAGCACGGTCAGTGCCATCTAAATCCCATACCCCAGCCTGAATCCTGACTGAAAGAGGTCCAGACAATCTGCTTCATCCAGAGTCCTTTGAAGCTGCCGTGGAACCACTTTCTCTACAAATTTCCCTAAAAAGGGAAGGCTGGAGACTGGACAAAAACTGTCCAAATTAGTTGGGTCAAGCAATGGCCCCTTGAGGAGGGGGTGCATCACCACCTCCTTAAGAGCCAGTGGGACCACCCCCTCCCTCAAGGAAGAATTAACCACTGCCCAGACCCAATCATGCATCCTCTCCCGGGAAGCCTTGACCAGCCAGGTTGGGCACGGATCTAACACAGCAGTGGCCAAACTAACAGCTACAAGAACCCTTTCCACTTCCTCAGGTTCAATGGGATTGAACTCCTCCCAGATAATCATGCAAGACCTAGCCCCCGTAACCTCCACTGGCCCTGCACCAAGGCTGGAATCCAATGCAGAGCTGATCCTAGTGACGTTATCTGCTAGCTGTGCAGCATATTCCTTACAGCAACCCTGTAGGTGAATCCCAGAATTGCTCCCTCCAAGGAAGGTCCGGGTCACCCGAAACAGGGCTGCTGGATGGCTATTTGCAGACTCAACAAGGGTGGAGAAATAATTATGTTTCACTGCCCTTACCACCACAAGGTAGGCTGTAATAGCGGCTCTAGCTCATGTTTAATCATCTTTGCTCTTTGTTATTTCTCTTTGCCCTCTTCATCTCCCTTAGCTCCTCCATAAATCAGAGAGAGTTTCGGGATCCATGGGTGTGGAGAGGCCACTCAGGCGTGATCCGTTCCAAAGCCACAGCTACTTTCCCATTCCAGGCAGCCACCAAGGCTTCGGCCAGACCACATAGTGGACCTTCCGGAACAACCCCAAGCTCCCTCTGGAACCCAATTGGGTCCATCAGTTGTCTGGGGTGGGCCAATCTAATAGGCCCAGCCTCCCTGCAGAGAGGGTGGCGCCAGAGAATTGGAGGTTCACCAGGGATCTCCCCCAAATCCAGAACACCGTGCTCCAACATAAAAACCAGGTCAGGCGTATGACCACTATTATGCATTGGGTCCTGGATGACTTAGGACAGGCCCATGGCTGTCATGTGGCCATGAACTCCCAAGCTACCTCAGACGCTACCTCCAAAAAAGGCAAGTTGAAGTCCCCCAAGACCATAAGTCTGGGGAACTCCACTGACAATCCGGCCACAGAGTCAAGAAGCTCAGGCAGGGAGGTTGCTATGCAGCAGGGAGTATAATAGCAACAGTCCCGAATGAGCCCTCTTAGAGTCCAACTTAACGAATAGGGTCTCACACCCTGCAATGAGGAGCAGCACCCCTGAATGTCTCCCAAATATCTTGGATGACCACCACCTCACCACCCCACCCTGGTCTTGGCTGGTGCCACACCTGGAACCCAGCTGGGCACACCTCAGAAAGGGGAACCCCCTCTTCCTGACCCAGCCAGTTCTTGGTAATACACTCCAGGTCAGCCTTCTCATCAACAATCAAGTCATGAATGAAGGTGGCCTTATTACATACCGACCTGGCATTCAGCAGTAGCAGCTGACAACCCAGGGCCTTGAAGGTCTGCCACCTGGGGCCCAGGAACGAGCTCAAGGGGCTGGAATGTGCCACAGGAACAATATACCCAGGCATGGTCCCCAGGAGCGGCCTGCCCCCATCTCCCATCATATCTCCCCATACCTGTCACTACTGGGATGTTATCCCTCCAAAGCCTTCCCCTTCCCTGTCTATAAAGGTCCATGCCCAAACCTGTAGCCCCCTCGCCACACATATACATATCCAGCCACAACCTCCTCCTGGTCCATCAATCCAGGGTACTTCTGCATAGCACTCAGCACCTCTAGATAAACGGGCCTACTCAACCCTATACTCTCATTCCCTTCCACCATCAGCCCACTCTCGCTAGACTAGCAGGGAGCCCACACATCCAACATCAGACAATCCAGAGAGTGAATCAGTCCCCCTTCCCTCTCACCTGTACGAAGGAAAACAAACCCCAATTCAGGGGGAGAAACACCCTCTCCCAGCAGAAACCCTAGTCCATCTGTCAATGGAGTCCATGAATTTGCAGAGCTCCTCTGTTCTCCAGGCTGGGAAGAAGGCAAAATGGCTACCCAGAGGAACGGTGGGAGGGGAGCTGCAGCCGCAAGGACTAAGCTGAATGCAATGCCTTGGCCCCTTCCCTGCATCTGCCATAGACCACTCCCTACCCCCCAAATGCCCCTCGACATTAGCTCCCAAACTGCCACCGCCACTTCTGTCGCCCCACTCTGGAACTCACCACCTCCATGCCAGCCAGCTAAAGGCCTCCTCCTCCGCAGCCACACCCTTTTCCATCGCCGCAAGGCCAAACGCTGCTCAGTGTGTGACACACAATCAGCACACCACAGCTGCTCCCTATGCCCAGGGCACCCAGCAATCCAGTCATCTGACTGTCGGTCCCAGGGAGATGATGGGCCAGCCAACAGTCTAGCCAGCCACAATCCAAACAGGAAGGTAAGTTCCAGGCACCACGGGCAATTCTGCCCCAAGTTGCTACGCAGCCTAATAAGGAATATGAACCGCATGGGCTCGGCGAGAAGCAACATCAACTAGATCCAATAGAAGGAAATCCCAAATCTATAGGAACTCCACCTCCTCTTAGTCCAAGTTTCCATACCACCAACCTGCTGCAACACAGTAATACCATCATTGGCACCCACTCCACAAACACACCTGACTTTGGCACCATCTTAGGGGAAAAAAAAAACTATCTGCCCAAATACTATATATAAGACAATCAGTAACAAAAGTAGAGCTAGTGAATCGTTGTTATGGCTGCATTTTGCTTTTAACAGATTGCCTATACTCTTTAAAGGGCATATTGCATTATGACCCATCTCTTACCTCCATGTAATTCTCTTCACACAGAATTTCCCTTGGAGCCCATGAGAAATAGGAGCAGTGCATGGGATGTTGGTAAATTGTAGCTGCCCTCAGGTCTTCAAATAATGATACTTTGATGTTTACAGTAAGAGAGAATTTTTCATCTTTCTGCAATCATTGAAAAGAGCATCTGTAATATAACTGGTGGAACTATTTAGCAATGGGGAATGCATCCTGTCACAATGTTCTTGAGAGAGCCAGCATTTAGATCTTTATAGGTTTATTGGCTTGTATTCAGTCTTGTTACCTTGTGAGCAAAAGAAATGCATTCCTGGAGAGAGAGAGAGAGAGAGAGAGAGAGAAACACCCTTCCCATTGCAGCCTCCCACCCCCTTCAAATCTGTGGGACTGCTCAAAGAGTTCTGGGACTGAGGAATGTAAAGGAGAAGTTCTGTTATAAGTTTACTCTGGCTAGTTGGATTGAACCTGTTGCATTTCAGATTGCTTAGGTTATTGTAGCCTGCCTCTTCATGCATGAGAGGACTGATATGCAACATTTACACACATTTGTCACAATCAGCAGATACTGATCCTCCACCGTAGCACAACGCTTTGAGCTGTCTTGCAAAACATATCAAACAATTGCTTTTTACAAGCATGTTTTATGTCTGTGTCTGTTCCCAGTTTTTCTTCCCTTCCACCAGGGCTTAAGCTAACTAAGCACAAAAATTAAAACACAAAATATATTAAAACCTTATCATAAAAACAGAAACCCCCAGCAGCCCAAATTATTCTATGCAGTTTTGCATAAATACTATTTATGTGCATAAATACTGGCACAATTGATTTTTTCCAGCATATATATCTGCTCTAGATCAGCAAATTTGTATTTAGAATGTACTGTATTTAGGATAGGAGTTCACAGAGGTGATCATCAAGTTGTCAGTCACAACCATTAATTAAATTTTCATATCCCCACGTCTTTGTTGGGCTCTGGTATAACATAAGTGTCTCTCCACATGACACATGATGTTTTACAAACTAAGGGGGGCTTATATTCTTAAAAATAGCAGGAGACAAGAAAGCCAAAATAAAAACCACAGATGCTCTGTCTCATCATTAGGTGAATAATGCTAGTTGGTTCTCAATTAATACAGTACAGTCTGTTTAACTGTATTAAATATATTAAATTCAGCCTCCATGTTTCCCTTTCTAGCTCCTTTCAATGCTAGAGATCCTGACATTGCCTACGTCAAAAGCAGACGCCTCAGTTTAAAATGAGAGATTATCTTTAAAATAATTTTGTATAAAAACAGTCAAAAGAGTCTATATTCTCTGACTAGCTGTTTTAAATATTCATCTGTCACTCAGACCAATGCGTTATTTATTTAGCCGTGCTTAGAATGTGTTAGTTTTTTCTATTCTGCTAATCTGGGGATGATACCTAACTGAACATTACTGGGCTCACCTCATTTATAACATGACAGCCAAGGAAAGAAGCCCGGAAAATAGGATTTCCCCACACATCCTTTGACAGAGTATAGCCACAACGAGCTCCCAACATCTGATCCACCAAGAATGGGACACCAGATGGATCTAGAAGCATAGAAAAGAGTGTCTTATAGACATGCTACCATAGCAGCTAGCCTAACCAAGCATTCCAACAGGATAAGAAGCAGCATTTTCTTCAACGGATGGAAGAAAAAAAAAGTAGTTCTCCAGGTGGTACAGAACTGTAAGTCTTAATATCCCCCACCGTTGATCATGATGATTGAATGGGTTGGGAGTTATAGTTCAGGAACACTTGAGATTCACAGATTTCTTATCCCTGCTTTATGGAACATCATCATGACATCAACCACCTATTCTTTACTATTTCATGACATTCTTTAAATACTGGCTTAAAATGCAGTGCTAATTGGTGTGCTTTGGTTTGTTTTTCCCTCCTAATATGTTACAGATAGCCCCCTCTTAATGACCACTCGCTCAGTGAATGTTTGAAATTACAACAGCGCTACAACCAGTCCTTGTAGTTGCAGCTCTTGCAGCATCCCCACAGTCATGTGATCGTGATTCTGGCACTTGGCAACCAGTTTGTAATTATGACAGTCACAGGATCCCACAGTCACGTGATCTCCATTTGCGACCTTCACTGTGGGCTTCTGACAAGCAAAGTCAATGGGGAAGCTGGCAGGAGGTCACAAATGGCAATCTGACCCAAGGACATAAGTCATAGTATTTGCATTAAATCATTTCCACCCCACCTCCCCCATATCTGTGATCCCCAAGTCACTCCTCAAATTAATAACATAGTAACCTTCATTTCAATGAAACTTTACTTTGAAAATACTAAGTTCTTGATCAAGCTGAAAATATAGACTGAGGTAATATACTGTTTAACATTTCACATGGATAGCTCACCAATTATTTCTATGTTGAAAAACTTCTTCTGAAGAAAGGATTTGTCTAGCTTCATCCAAAATATGCTGGAGAAACAGGTACTTTCTATAAAACCTAGAAAGGGGTTGAGGAAAATTAGTTTCCACACTCATAATCTGGTCACTTAATCACATAATCTGGTCACTTCAGCTCCTAAAAAGTGGTAGTCAAAGCTGAAAGATATTGTTGCCTGAGGCAACTGTGAACCTGCCACATCCTATGCCTCAAATTCTTAACTTGACAGAGTTGAATGCTGTTTCCAACACTGGCAACAGGGCGCTACTCTTCACCGCTTCTAAGGGCTGCAGAGCATTCTGGGACATGCAGGATGTGCCATGCAGGACGCAGTTCTTTCCTCTGACAAAGGAGAATAGCTGGGGAAGGTCTCAGGAGAAATAGGGGTGGGGGAGCAGGATTGGCACTTCTGTCCTCCGAATACTGCCAAGTGCCTCATGTTGACTAACAGTAGCTCTGGTCCTGATTAAGTTAGGAAACAGCAGATACCACTTCACTAACCTGGAGAACTTACTGCTTCTTGCGTCCAACCTATTCCACACTGCAGTAAAAGGAGCAACAGCAAAATTCTGTGTGAGAGAGAGAAGAATGTGTGGGTGCACACACATACATAGATATACCCCCCCACATGCATATACAGACACAGAGATGCCTATGTCTATATAATAAACAAATCAAATAAAAAATAAAAAATGAAATTCCTGCTAAAACCACTTTACCTGCATAACACCTTTTCTACCATCCCCATGCTTTCACGGGATCGTAGTCAAGCAAAGGACTGCACACTCAGTACTGTAAATTCTTTTTACAGCACAGCTCCTCCCTGACACAAAACAGAGAATGGAAAAGAGATGAACTAGAAGGGAAAAAAGAAAGTGTATCCTTTATCATGAAGAAGAAGAAAAAGGTTTGCCACAGCTGTAAATTAGGGGCAGGTGTTCTAGCAGCCATTTACTAATCATTGGAAAGAGATGTTGCTTGTTTGGATTGAATCTTCTGTGGGCTTTTTAGACCAAAAGTCTTGGCATACTTCCTAGTATGAAAGACCCATTGATAATCTACTCCATAATTGTAGTTTGGATCACAGATTTATTATTTTAAAACACTGATTATCTTATCTATCTGCCACAAAGATTATCTTTCCTTCTTTCCTATACCTTTAGCACTTAACAAACCAAATCAAACAGTTAAAGCCCATCAATTAGCTATCCTTCCAACCCCAAGAGCTTAATGAGTTAAATGACTTACTATGAAGATACTCTTAATTGAATAGGAACAAGTGAATAAGCTGTTGGCAGGTCCTTCCACTGAGCCGTAAAGAAAGGCAGGGCTGTGGTTAGATTCAGTGAGGAGATGTGTGAGAGCTAAGCATGTGTGGGTCATCCATGGCATCTGACCAGGTACTGTAGTTCCACTTGGCCTTCACGATGGAAATTTGGTAATACTAAGAGGGACAATACAAGTTATAAGGGTTTAGTCCCTGGTAAATGTATAAAGGATTAGGTTGTAAAACAGTCAGCCATTACAGCCTTTTCTAGGAACATTTATTCTGAAATAATCTTACTGATTCCAAGGAAGCTTGTTCTCAGGTCACCTGGCTTGGATTGAGATTTTATTTTCAATCTAGTGAGGTTCAGATTTGAATAAATAATCTGCACTGTAATTCTGTAAACCTAAATAGGCATACTAGGAGGTAAGTCTCCTTAAACCCCCTATAATCCGCACTAAAGTATTAAAATTGGGATGTAAATACCTATAACTTCTGCCTTTCTTCATCCAGATCTGCCCAGTGTAATTTTATTTTCTCTTTAATACAGCATTACTTTGAATGATAACATGTGGCAGTGAGGTAACATGTTGCACAGACCTTTGGCCCCAATGGAGCAAATGCTATTTACAGGCATTTGTTTGAGGAGAGAGAGAAAAGAAGCCACAGATAAATGAACTAATGCAATTAGGGATATTTTTAAAAAACAAATGTGCTCTTATTTGTTTAGATCTTTAATATTTACAATCATTTCACTGAACAATAGTATTTTCTAAATTTATGCTTTATAATTAAAAACATTTTATTTTTTATTTTCTTACCAGATAGCTTTTATTAATCCATTTTCAAACAAACAAAACATGTTTTTTTAAATAGAGAGTTGCTTCACTAAAAAAAAAAAAAAAAAAAGGCTGGCCTCCTGAATGAACTGCCAGTGCTGTTCCCACAATAAATAACTCTTAAAATGCGGGAAAGGCATTTGCTAATCTGAAACAATATCAGATAGGTAGCACAATAGGGCATTTAATTGCCTGGAAGCAGCAAAAAACATCAGGAGTATGAAAACAATATTCATCAGGTGACTAATGGTCCATGTAGAAGTTCCCTACAGACATTTGGACTAGCTGAAAGTTATCTTGTAGTTAAAGCGAAATATCAAATTTACCTTTTTTAGACAGCTTTTGCTCTTCAGATTTTGTAGGTTGTGTGATTACAATATAAATACAGTTTCTAAAAATAGCTGCCAAAAAAAAAAAAGAAGGCAGGTTGGCTGTAGACATGACCTGGGCTAGTTTGCCCTTTTATAGTTGATGAATAACCTTTGGGCAAGTCATTTAGGCAACATATACAATATAAATACAGTTTCTAAAAATAGCTGCCAAAAAAAAAAAAGAAGGCAGGTTGGCTGTAGACATGACCTGGGCTAGTTTGCCCTTTTATAGTTGATGAATAACCTTTGGGCAAGTCATTTAGGCAACATATTCAAGTTCTGGGGGGGGGACCCTTCACATATATTTAAACAGAGAGAGAGAGACATTTAGGTTTTTGCTGGGACACTTTCTACCCCATTAACTGTGTTTGCTCAACACAATGGACTTAGACTAGCCAATACATTTAACCTTCCATGATGTATTAAATCCACCCAAACAGCTGCTACAGATAGTGATGCTTCTATAGAAGTACAGAATATTGTCCCAAAGTAAAGGACAACTATTGTGATGTAAATTCAGAAGAAGAACCTTGTCATGCTGGGGTTTAAAAAGTGGAACTTACTCCATTTCCCTCTCCTGGGATGTAAATATTACCTTTACAATGCTTTATAAATTTGGAAGGGCCATGGGATCCAACTTCCTGTTCAGAGCAGGAATCTAAATTAAAGCATCTCCAGCAGATGGCTCTCTGGCCTCTACTTCAACACATTCTGTGAATGAGAACCAATTGTTTTTCTGGATAGCTGCTTCTACCATCCAAGTGTTCTTACTGTTAGGAGAAAAAAAAGTCCTAGTGTTCAATTGGCATTTACCTCTGCGCATATTAAATCCACAGTTCTATGTCTTGCGTTCTGGAACAAGAAAGAAGGGAATTTGATCATCTGTGTGTCTTCTTTCCAGATGCTTTCAAATTCTTAGTCTTCTGAAGGCTAAACTTGCAAAGCTCTTCACTTCTTCTTCTTCATACAATTTATTATTTAGTCCCCTGTTTATCCTCACTGCCCTTATCCGCATCTTTTTTTTACTTTGTATGACGTTTCTTAAACTGTGGAGTCCTTGGGGTTCTCTGAGCTTGGTTGTTTTCGTGCAGATGTTTCGTTACCCGTCTACATAACGAAATGTAACAAAATGTCTGCAAGAAAACAACCAAGCTCAGAGAATCCCAAGGACTCCACAGTTCAACCTTGAGGTACTTATATTCTCTTCTATTGGTATTTCTTAAATTTTGGGCCCCCCAAAATGGAACTCAGTAGTCAAAGTAGGATAAAATGGAACTATTATTGTTAAATTCATTCCATTAGTTTCAACCCATCTCTCTAACCTATTAACATTTAACACCCAGAGTACAGTAAAGCATATACAGCTGACCCCATGGTTCTTAGTATAAGCATATACGCAGTTGTATGATCACTGCTGGTTAAAGGGTTGGAAAGAATTCCAGAAGCCAAATGCTGCATTCTTCCCCTATCTTGTTTAATTCTACAAAAGTTTTAAAAACAGTTTCCTCAGAACTGAGCGCTTCCAAAGTGAAAATGTTATGAGGTCCAGTCCTTCCTTGCCCAAATTTTTCAGTTTAAATCTGAATATCTGCTTTTAGCTGGCATTACCCCATACCATGTGAGCCAGTTTGGTGTAGTGCTTAAGGCACTAGGCTAGAAACTGGGAGACTGGGAGTTCTAGTCCCGCCTAGGCACAAAGCCAGCTGGGTGACCTTGAGCCAGTCACTGTCTCTCAACCCTAGGAAGGAGGCAATGGCAAACTACTTATGTAAAACTTTGCCAAGAAAACTGCAGGGACTTGTCCAGGCAGTCTCCGAGAATCAGACACAATTGAACAGAAAAAACCAAACCAAACCATAAGGATTTAATGGGCAAATAAGCAAAGTTACACATATGCCGTATATGTCTTGCAACACTAAGGTCAGGTGTTGAAAGTGATCCTCACACAACCAGGTATCCCAATACTTTCCAGGATTTCAGTGGGGTCAGATGATAATTCCTAATGTGATTCCAAAAAGGAGCTGAACGTCATGTGTTGGTGAAATCAAGATATGTCTACAGATTCGCATAATCTACCCAAATTACCCAATGAAACAACAAGATAAGGTTACTATGGCAACACTTGTTCTGGACAAATCCATGTTGACTGCAGGTAATCATTACATTATCTTCAAGAGGTTTACTAACCTCTTAATGATCTGCTCTAGTATCTTCCTAGGTATTGATGTCATACTGACTCCTCTGTAGCTTCCAGGAGTATTATTGTTACTAACTAAATGCTTATGCCAACTGACTCCCAGCAACTCTAGGAGGCTCACAAGTAAAAACATTTAAAAATAAAATAAGAGACCCCAATAAAAGGAAAAAAGATGACAAAGATTACAAGAACCAGACAGGAACAAAACAAAGAAACACCCACACAATCCAAGGGGGCTTCACCCACCCTCGCGAAAGGCATGGGCAAAGAGAAGGATCCTGTCTTATCTCTTTATGAAGATCAGTAAGCCTAATCAGTTTATGGATGCTAAGGAAACTCCTCCTAATCATAGTAGACACTATGTGTTTAACTGGGTGAATCAAAGGGTTAGTATATTATGGAAACACTAAAGAGAAGTTAACTGATCCAGTGAACCAGTCTCAAATAGATCAGTCCTGCACAAAGTTGAGCTAACTACATCCAGTCAGTCCTCTCATGGCAAAACCCAGGTAAATGACTCACTTTATATACAGTGTCTAGTTCTCCAAGAAAAAGAACTAGAGATTAAGAGAGCTTCTCTGTTACAGAACATGCAACCAGGGACGTCTGGCTGCACAGAATATCCTTTCTGAACATTGATTGGTTGCAGTGCCAAAGCCACACCCACATCAAGGGATGAGCAGTGATGAAAGAGATAAAGACCTCATGGAGCCTTACCAGGATTCCCCTTAGATAAGGGCTTATGAGATATTAAGAACTTCTGGTAGAAAGTGGATGGGAATGCCTTTTTCCACAGTTGAAGGATGTTTTTTATTCTGTGCTGCCAGACCCATAAGGATGTTTGACTTTGTCAGTGGCTGACTAGGACTTGTAGGAAGAGGACTATAATGTTGCCCCTCCCCAATTTAATGCTTTTTGGATATCTTATACTGGGAATTAGGGCATGGTCATACAGAACATCTGGAGGGGACACCAGGTTGGAAAAATCTGCCATAAACAGTTACAGTACAACAAAGTAAAGCTACATCACATTTCATTTTCTAACATCTGCAGATACTACTCACATTTTTATATTACAGCAAGCATTGTCATGATTCTCCACTAGATGACACCCTTCTCCACTTTTGAAGGAAACACTCTTTTCTCTGGGACACCTACTCTTATGTGAAGGAAGTAAACCTAGATTTCAAGAAATAGGAATGTTGAAGACCACAGGTCAAACTTAACTTTCTGAAGTAAGTTCCTGAAGCAGCATGAATATGAAACTCTTTTTAAGATAAAAGCAGACATTATGTGCATTTTAAGAGTGATTCTTAGAAAACAAGTTTAGGATAAGTTATTTTTCTTGGCTTTTTTCAACAGCTAAGCCAGAATTTGTCATTAAAGATAAGACTTGAATGTAAAATAGACCATGTTTCACACTGAAAGTTAAGAAAAAGCCTTAAATAATTATGTAAGTATTGTAATGCCTTAGAATAGGAATACTGTGGTCCTCCAGTTCCAAAATTATACTATTCAATAACTTCAGCCAGCATGGCCAACATGATCCTCCTAGAAAACGTGGAAGGGCATCAGTTTCCCACTGCTAGAAACAAGGAAGCTTGATTTTGTGAATTATTGCTTTATTTAGATATGGCTCCTAAATAAAGCTCCAAGTGGAATTATAAAAAAAATGTCCTCAGGTATTTTGTGGGTTTCATTCCTCAGTAAGCATGCATAAGTATTCAATTCTGTGCTGCAGCTTAACCTGCTTGTCTCCTATGCTGCTCCCAGCTATTTCTTAAGCCAGCTTCAGAAATTCTACTCTGGGTTGCAGCAAGTTGACAACAGGGCTAGGCAGGTGTTCATTCTGAACTATGATCACTGTAAGATCCAACTGGTCATTCTCCTGCTTCTTGCCCTTCCCATCTGTGCAGAGAAGGCAAGATTCACTGGCTCTCTTCTATGTGGACCAGTCTACCAGTAGCTACCTTTTCCTTTTAGGAACTGTTCCTTCCTCACTTGACCCTGTACCTTTCCTTTGTTTTTCCAGATGTGGACCCACATGGGTGCCTTCACCCCCCTTCCTATGTGTCTCCTTTGACACTAACATGATGTCAGCCCCACCAGATAGAGCATACCAAGAATCAACTCCACAGGGACTACTTTTTTTGAGAGTGGCTATAATAA